AACTTTGCCCACAGAGAACATGCTCCTCCCTGGGTCCCAGGAGGGCCCCAGTGTAAGCACGGAAGGGGGAGTTATCTGGTCTCCTGAGATTCAATACAAGGCTTCTTTCTCTCTCTGCCCAGGGACAGGCTCTCTCAGACCACAGCCTCACAGACCCTCTCAAGAATTGTAGACTCCTTCAAGCTCACATTTTTGGATCAAATTGAGGGCACGCAATCTTCTATTTAGCTTTGATATCCTGGTATTATTGGTGTTAGAGATGTCATCACTGCCCACCCGAAATGTACATTAACTGAAGAAAAACCGTGGGGCCGTGGTTAACAAGCTGTGTCCAAATTCATTCCTGAGAGACAGTCTCACCACTTCCACCTCAGGCTCAGATTCTCCACGTTTAGAAAGGCTCTCTATATTCCTAGAACCAAAAAGTGCCCTCTTTTCTCTTTGGAAAGTTTTCCATGTTCTTCAGTCGCTCTTTTCCTGAAAGATTCCCTTCTGAGCTGACCTGATACAAATGAGTACAGAAGGGATAGATGAGATGAGTTGCCTCCACCGAATTCCTCTTGAATACACTGTGCTCTTTCAGCTCACATCCAATATCATACATCTCATTTATTTCTTCTTCTTCTTCTCTTTTTTTTTGGACCACACTTAGCAGGTCCCTAGGCTTACTGCTTGCACTATACTCTGAAATCACTGCTGACAAGGCTCAATGATGGGGATGTAAGGTATCCTATGGGCCCTCCCGTTGATCGTCGATTTGCTCGAGCGGGCCCAGTAACATCTCCATTGGAGACTTTGTTGTTACTGTGTCTGGCATATCGAATACTCTCGGTAGCTTGCCGGGCTCTCCGAGAGGGGTGGAGGAATCGAACTCGGGTCGGCCATGTTGGCCGCTTGTAAGGCGAACGCCCTACCCGCTGTGCTATCGCTCCAGATCCTATGGGATGCCAAGAATTTAACCTGAGTTGGCCACATGCAAGGCAAACACACTACAGACTGTACTATCTTTCCAAAGATCTCATCTAACTTTCATGTCTCTCAGCAAGCCCAGGTGCAGTGCATTGAGAATCATGTAAGGTGAGAGTATAAACCCACAGAGAAATGACTCACAGGTCATAAATTGGGCATGAAAGTGAGCATGAGGGAATGCCCAACATAGGACCTACACTCTGATAGGGGCCTATGAGTTGGTGAGGTTAGAGTGCTTGGTGAGATGAGTCAGTATAATCTCTAGTGATGAGTTCCCCACTCCTACCACCCCCACCCCCATTTAATCACTGTTTCTTCTTTCAGTAGAATGCCCCTGGGAATGCAAACCAGCAAAATATTGAAAGGCCATGGATGATCCAAATCATTGATTTCAGGCTTCTTGATATCTTAGGAATCTCTTCCATGAACTGCTGGCCCAGCTGGTAGCTTTCTATTTCTGAGAATTCCAGAGTCCTGGGCAGGGTCAGAGATCCATGGAAGGTACCACAGAAAGTACCTGGATTCTAGTGGAGACAAGTTTCCTCCACATCATCAGCCTGTGACTGGGGCCAACCCTGTTGCTTCTGTCATACAGGAGAAGCACAGGGAGCCTCATGTTCTACAGGGCCCCTGACAGTACCCTCCAGAGTTATTTGAGGGATCACACCTGATTCAGACAGGAGAGATCTCCCCCTACCAAAAAACCCCATCCCCCAGTCCACTATAGATTTTTAAATCTTCCAGGGTTCTGCTCTCAATGGACCACCAGTGGCCCCATGAATAAACTTATAACCAACTCCTACTCTATGATTCCCATCAGCTCACTAACCAATGGACAATCCTGCACAAGGATTCATTGAGAAAGGGCAGAATAAGGGTAGCTAGTGGCAGGATGGGAGAGAAAGAGACCTCAGTTACAAAGGACACCAGAGAGTGTGAAGGCAGTGAACTGGGTATGTGTACTCAGAAGAGCACCTCCGATCAGCCACGCACTTTTGCCTACACTGTCTGCTCCAGAGGAGTTGCCATGAGGTGGTTATGATGACCAGGGGAGGGTTGGGGGAGAAGGAGAATGATACTTCAGGGTGTTCACACAATCCTGTTGTCACAAGAGGCCCTAAGACTGCGCATTCCACCACAGGAGCTTCAGATGGTGGTTAGCACACAGAGACTGTCTGAGCTCCTGTGGAAGCTTCCTCTGATGCTGCGGAGGGGACAGAGCAGCTGTCACCAGCCTGCAGAGCCTCAGGGGAATGGACTGAACAGAAGCTTCAGAACTAGATTCAGTCTAGGATGCCCTGAACACTCATATTGGCCCTGCAGGGACACTGACATTCTCCTGGAACAGCCAGGGGGACTGGAGGTTGGGTGGCATTGTGTTCCCCATGACACCTGAGTGGAGTCGCATAAGGACACCCAAAACATAACTATCAAGATCATAGTTCATTCAGTTTGATGGATTTCTGGTCAAAATTAAACAGCCAGAAGTTTCATCAACAAGTAATTGCTTTACAAGGTGAAAAAAGTTTTCTGAGTTCTCCTCAGCAGTCAGAATAGAACGGAGGAAAGTTTCCTCAGGACCAGCTTCTCTGGGTGCCCCTGAGACATACCCTGCTCAGTGGGTGCCTGGTGTGAAGCATCAACTCAGGATCCCTCACAGGAACACACAGGCTGGGGGCTTATACCACATACATGGGATTCTCACACTCTGGGAAACTGGAGAGTGAAGGTCAAGGTCTCTCAGGGTCACTTCCTGTGAGACCCTCCTCATGTCAGCAGGAGCCCCTCTCTCCCCTTGTCCTCACAAGCCTCTCTTGGAATTCATGCCTGTGGGGACTGGGAGGGGGGATGGGGTCAGTGCTCCCTGGTGTCCCTAAACTCCCATCTAATCCCCCTCCTGTGAGCTCATTTTACTTTAAGTGATTCTATTGCTCTATCAAGTCAAATTATGAGTCCTGGATGGGGATCAAAAGTCCATAGCAGAGAGGCAGGACAGGACTTCTATCCCCACAGCAGGAAAGGGTGATAATCTGGCTCCAACTCAGACTCTAACAGCTTTCATACTTTCCCACAACAGCTGCTGACAATGGACCTGTTACTGTCTCAGGTTTCTAGGATTCAGGGTCTCTCTTGCCACGTATGGGGTTTGTCTCCCATCTGGAGGCTGTTGTGTGATACAACAACTTAATAGGTTTCTGTTGACTAGCCAGACCTTGGGCTTTTTTCTATAGGGGAATTTTCACACAACAATGTGAAACAACAAAGTGTTGTTATTTCTAATAGAATGGTCAGCTCCTTTAGGAGAAATGACTTACAGGTGATCAGTGTTTATTTTCCCTCTTTTTATTTTTCCTCCTGACGCCCCACCCCACCCTGCTTCTATGACAGGCACCATTCTCTCTCTCTCTCTCTCTATATATATATATGTATATATATATCTTTCTCTCCTCTCTTTCTTTCTCTTTGGACAATATGGTTTGCAGCACAGATACTGAGAAGTTATCATATATATCCCTTTACCTGCTTTCAATACTGAGTTCTGATTCTGAGTGCACATGTCCAACTCTTATTGTCATATTGGAGGTGACCAGAGTTTACAGGAGAGCCCAGGCACAAATCGGCAAGTAATAGGGACTGTGATGCCAGGATATGTCATAAATGTTATTTTTGAAAAGGCAGGAGTGTCCTAGGGACAATGAGGAGCCTCTAAGGATAACGGTACATGTGGGAGTGGGATGGCAGAGAGCAGAGGGCTCCTGGCTCCTCTCTAGAGTTGCTAATGCAGTCTCATTCCTCCTTCCAGGATAACCAGACCTTCTTTGAGAATCACAGTGGATGCAACACCGAGGAGGCCTCACTATACTAGCTCTAGACTGACTCATAAAAATTGCTTCTGTGGCTTCACAAGAGACCAAACGTAACGATTTAATCATTGATGTTCTAGAATGCTTTCACGGTGTGTTAGGATTCAAACTCAGGGCCTAAACCATGAGAAACATATTTTCTATGTCAGTTAAATGCCTGGTCCTACAATGATTTTGGTCTGAGATGGTGCTGTATTTTCCAAGTTATGACTATGACTCTACAAATGGTAGTAGTGGAGAGATTAGAAATGCAAGTGATGCAACTCAATTTACATTTGAGTTTAGAATAATTTGAGCCTATGTAGCCGAGTCTTTAATGCAGCTGTGTCAGTCCTATACAGTATTCAAAACTGTAGTAGATAATTCCCCAACTAACAATGTGTTTTATGGAAACAATAAGCAACACCAGGAAAACCAGGCTGTCAATCATTAATTATACATTGCCCATGCTCATGTCATCAATCTGGGTGTCAGAGATGAACGTGAATAAATCCCATGGTGGGTAATTGTAAGCTGCCCTAATTATGAGGTGTTACCAGTTCTGAGATGAATATCGTCTCTCCTGGGGACATGGAAAGAGTAGATGTAGGCTTCCTTGGGATCTGCATGAAGCTCTGCATTAAAGAGATGGAGAACAACACAATGAAACGAATATAAATTTGCCCCACTGTCCAGTATTTGCAATAAATTGTACTGTTGTTCCTACAGGACTTTGCAGTGATGGCGAATGAGTTTCTTGCTTGAACAGTTACTGAAAATTCATTGAAAGTTTCTTCAGAAGTAAGACAGAGGTTGGTGTTAGACAGTTAATTTCTGTTTGACGAGATGTGAAATTGATAGTTGTTGTGATGTATGGTTTGTCTTTTATACAAATTTCACAAAGGTGTAAAACCAACAATGTTCCCAGCCCTCTGGCCCAGCTGCCACCCAGTCCAGCATGAAGGCCAGGTCCTCACACAAGGGCCTCTGTGAGCCAGTGGGAGCTGGACCAAGCTCTGAGCTCAGAGTAACATGAGGGTTCTGGAACCCTGGGATTCAGCAGGTATTGGGAAGGATCTAGAAGACAGGATCCTCTCTAGAGCTGAGTTTGGGGACAGTGTCCACCAGGTGATTTGTTTGACAGGAGCAACACAGAGGCTAACGGTCAGCATTGTTCCAGGGGAATACCACCCTCAGTCATTGCCAGTTTCCCAAGGGACTCCAGTGAGGAAGGTCCCATGTCGGCACCATTGTTCATCCTGCTACAAGGGTACGGCTCCCAGAGGACTGTGTCTGCTCCAGGGTCAGAGAAACTCCTACTCTACATTCTGCTTCCCAGGATCCCACTCACCAAGAGTGTCCTGCACAGGAATCCACAGAAAAGTGTCAGAAATAAGGGTGACCATGACAGGAACGAGAACAGGAGCACAGCTCTGAAGCCACCAGGACCCCTGTATGAGCAGGATGAACTGGGGCCTATGAGTTCAGGACAGGAGGTTGGAGGTGACACACTGGAGTCTCCATCAGGGACGCAGAGCAGAAGCCCTGGGGGTACTTGTGGAGGAGGTGAGAGGGTCTGGGAAGGGCGGACTGGGATGGGGGATGGCTAAGATGGCTCACATCTTGTGAGCCAGGTGCTGGGGGCCTGGCTCCCAGAGAGCACAGCAGCCCCAGAAGGAGCAGTAGGACAGGGAGGTGTGTGTTCCCCGGCTCACAGGAGGTGACTGTCCTCTGTCATTCCGAGGCTACTAGAGATGAGATGTCCTCGACCTGTTCCACTGTCCGACCCTGGATGAAAGAGCTGTAAAGTACTTTTATTTTGTTTCTGTGTTTGATTCTTTGAGTTTCACAGCTGTGAGTGCCCAGGGCTCATTCCTGGCTTAGGGAAACTCCCTCAGGAAATAATATGGGGTCCTGTGAATCAAAGTAGAGTTTGTCACATGCATGGCCAGGTCTTACCAATTGTACTATCTTTTCCTCGTTATATGTACATCAAAAGCAAATTCCGTTAAGCTTTAAGCCTGACTGCATCTGATACACCCTCAGCAGTGGAGGCACCAGGAGGAGCAGCTGTGGCAGCCCAGCCTCACACAGCTGATCTCTGGGGGTTTATGTTCTGGTGTGTATCACTGTGGGAGGAGTATAACCTTGTTGACAGTAGTAAGTGGCAGCATCATCAGAATTCAGGCTGCTGATGGTGAGAGTGAAATCTGTCCCATATCCACTGCCACTGAACCGGGGAGGGACGTCTGGTCCCAAACTGGTTGCACCATAGATGAGGAGCCTGGGAGATTTCCCTGGTTTCTGCTGATACCAGCTTAAACTACTGTAAATGCTCTCACTGGCCTTGCAGGTGATGGTGACCTTCTCTCCCAGAGATGCAGACACGGATGGAGGCTGGGTCATCTGGATATCACATCTGGCACCTGAGGTAAAAATATAAGTGTAGGTCATTATCATGAATCATAAGTTAGATAATTTCCCTGAAGGACCCAGCAGTCCAAGTTCATGTAAACCTGCATTTCCCTCCTTACCCGGGAGCCAGAGCAGCAGGAAGCTGAGGAGCTGCACAGGGGCCCTCATGTCCATTCTGGGTGTGACAGAGACTGACCCTGCAGGGTGACACAGATTATTATTGAGTGTCCAGGCATGAGCTCTGAGGACTTGCAAATGAGAGGGGGCTGGGTAGGCTGGGCAGGCAGAGGGGTGTGACCAGCCCAGGTGCTAGGAAGTTGGGGGGGAGGTTGCATGTCCCTGTGGGGAAGCAGAACTTTGCCCACAGAGAACATGTTCCTCCTGGGCCCCAGGAGGGCCTCAGTGTGAGCCCAGAAGGGCGGTTCCCTGGTTCCCTGCTTCTCTCCCCTGGAGACAGGTTTTGTCAGAACACACCAGTATAGACTTCTTCAGGAATTGTACACATTCCTTTGATTTCTCAAGTTTGTATATAATTGAGGAAAGGGAAATTTTGTCTTTGGTTTGGAATTGCATTATATTTTCCTAAACGTTATAAAGAATTAAAATTTTATGTTTTTCTATTTTATGGGGTGGGGACTATATGTCAGTGCTCAGAGAACATGGCAGTCACTGAATATCACGTAGCCATGGGGATGAGCATTTCAATGCCGGGGACCAAGGATGCAAGGCTATTGAGATGCTGCAGTGCTGGAACTGTCAGGCCTATATCTGTAGGTACTCTGGGCCATGTGAGTCCTGTGCTCATATGTGGACCCCAGCTCATGCCTCCTTATGTGTCAGTCTCCCTCACTAATCACTCTACTATTTTATATGAGAAATTGTTATTATTAGCACACAGAAATGCAATGAATGAAAAGAACAATGTGCTCAGAAGAAGTGGCTGAGATAGTCCAACTTGACCAACTCATCATTGAATATCCTGTCTCATCACTGGTGTGTCTCTTTCTTGTAAACCTCCTAAAGACACAGCAGCTCTCAGACACCAGATGCTAGACTTAGTGTTTTGAGTAGATTGAGGTGATAACAGTACAGAACAGCCAATGACAGCCCACTCACAGCATATGCAATTCACAATCAGTGTGGAGTGAAGATAGAACCACACACGAAGTATCACTTGGGGCTGCAGAGAGCTGTGCTTCAAGAGTCAGCAGCCAGATTCCTAAGGATGCCATCCCACCACCCCATCAACATCACTGTTCTTTCATTCTGGAGGCTGTCCCTGGGACTGCAAACACAGCTCTCCCTGCACAGTTCTAGGGTCTCCCCACCACTGAATTCAGCACAGGACAGACTAAACCAGACCCCCATGAACCACTAGCCCAGCAGGACCTCCACATGCTTAATTTAAGTACTGAGTATCCTGGGGAGAGGCTGGAATATTTCCCAGGAAGCGGCAGGTCCCATGGGAGCCCTGCAGTGATCATGGAGTCTAGACATGACAGTTTCCTCTCCTGTGATCAGCCTGTGACTGGAATCTCCCCGAGTTCTTCTGTCAGACATGAGCAGCTCCCAGGGCTCACCCTCTGCAGGGCCCAAGACAGGACCCTCCAGGGCCAATTTCTGTCTCACACCTGATTGAGCAGGAGAGATCTCCTCACCCTGCCACCATTGGTCTTCATGCAGCAGGATCCTGCTTTCAGTGGGCCTCATATGCCCTTCTGAGGGAGCTTTAAACCAATCCCTACTTACTTCTCTCTGCACCACATTTACTGAAAACTGGGGTCAGTAATGGACTGGATGTAAGAGAAATCTGGGCCCCAACTCTGCAGGAAGCCACTCCTGACTGAATGAACTATTTTCCAGGTATGAGTGTAGGGGGTGTCCTTTTTGTATGTACACTAAGATGTCAGTGAAGATGCTGTGTGGCCCTTTGCAGTCTTCCTGACTGTTTCTCATCCCAGCATAGCGTGACATAGGATAAAATAAGGTTTTAGTTCAGAACAGAAATTCAGAGAATACACACACACTTCAGGCTCCATCAGGGAGGCGAGAAGTGAGGTGGGGATGTGGAGGAGAGGAGAAGGGAACGGGAGAAGAAATAGCAAAATTTCAGAGCTGTTCTTTTGTCATGTTGTTATCAGAGACCCTAAGACCATAGAAGCCCAGAATAGGAGCATCTGGGGGAGGGTATTGCCCAAGGGGATATCTCTCACCAGGAGCACTATCCTGGTGATATGAGAGAGTCTTGTGTCTATACTCACTGTCCCTTTCCTGGCAAAACACCAGGACAGGCTATAAGCAAACTACAGCCCGGATAAAATTATGATTTTTCTGTGATTATTTGATTTATGGGACTCCATGCCAGGCAGTTTTCACTCTGGGCACACCAAGGGGGTTTGGTGAGAGCCCTCCCTGCCCCAAGGGACCCAGCCCCAGCAGCCAACCTCCACTACCCAACTGCCTCCATGCTCCAGGACGCTTTCCACAAGCTTGGGCCGAGCCCCACACATGAGTGAACATATTCCTGGACAGCGAGGCTGTGTCACATCATAAGACTCATAGAGGGAAATATATACATATATATTTGGAAATAGCGCAGTGGCAGTATCGTAGCCAATGAGGTTTATCTGAGGTGCGATTATTGCTAATTGAAATATATATATAAATATATATATGGGCTGGAGTGATAGCATAGCGGTAGGGCGTTTGCCTTTCATGCAGCTGCCCAGATTCGATCCCTTCGCCCCTCTCGGAGAGCCCAGCATGCTACCGAGAATATTCTGCCTGCACGGAAAAGCCTGGCAAGCTCCCCATGACGTATTCAATATGCCAAAAACAATAACAAGACTCACAATGGAGATGTTACTGGTGCCCGCTCGAGCAAATCCAAATCGATGAACAATGGGAGGACAGTGACAATGACAGTGAATATATATATATATATATATATATATATATATACATATATATATATATATCATGGCAGAGTCTGGCAAGCTCCCCATGGGGTATTCAATTTGCCAAAACTAGTAACAATATAACAATAACAGGTCTCATTCCCCTGACCCTGAAAGAGCCTCCAATCATTGGGAAAGACGGGTAAGGAGAGGCTACTAAAATCTCAAGGCTGGGACGAATGGAGACGTTACTGGCACCTGCTCGAGTTAATTGATGAACAAAGGCATGACAGTGATATAATAACTTGATTTCTGTACAGTAGCATCTTACCAATACTGCTAGTGTGTTTTGTCCCTCTAGGCAATCCTTGGCTGTCTGAGCAACCAGTTAGTTCAGTGTAAGAGTTGATGATTTGGAGCTTTTCGGGGTTTATGGTGCTGGAGAAAACCAGAGCACACCCCCATGCCTGTGCCTACCAGGGTCAGCCAGGTGATACTCAGAAACTTCCAGGAATGCCCTATAGACGCTCAGGGAAACTGTGATGCCAGGAATCACCTGGGTGGATTGAAACACAAACCGAAAGCCCTGTACTTTCTTTCCTCAGTGGCTTGGGCTTGTCTCAGGATGAGATGTTCCTCACACTCTGTGTAGCCTTGAAGGTAACAGGGACGTACTGGGGGAGGCTAGTAGGGGGCCATCTTATTGTACAATCAAATAGGATCATTCCTACATTAATACTTAGAAATTATTAGAACGAACCTCTATCTGATGTCCAGTGTCTTCTGATGTGTTTCCCTTTTACTTTATATAAAAACTAGTTTGCAAAGTTGTTTATGATGATTTCTTACATACATTCTCTATTCCAAAACCATTCCCACCATCATTGCACCATTCCCCAACCAATTTTCCCAAGCACCCCTTCATCCT